CTTGTTCCGATTTGACTGCATAGTACCTTATGTTACATACTGACCTATTTTGATCAATTCGAATGTCACAGGTCACAAGCCTCAAAATTTTCGAAAAAAAATTTGAAAGGTCACAAGGTCACAGGGGGTCCATTCGAATTGCCCCACCCTGTGACACCTCCGAGCTTGCCAAATTTGGCTTCTTGGACCCGATATTCGAATTTTTCTCGCCGCGTCACAGGTCACGTGGGTTCATATGAATTCCCAATTTTGTATGAACTGGTCACCGGTCACAGGCCATTCGAATTGATCGAAATAGGTCAGTATATCATTTGAATACTTCTATGTTCTGATTGTTATGTAAGGAGGATAATCAAATGGACTTTGTGTATCACAACTATCCATATGATATCCATATCAGGAGAAGAGAGAAGTAAACCTTAGAGTTCATGTCTTGAAGGCGGTGGAGCGGTTGAGCTTGACTTAAAGCAGATAGGACAACAGTGAAAGGACCGGATGAAGAAGCACAAATTCCCCGAGTTGGTGGCAAAAGCCAACGACCGCTGGACTTTGACCTATGTGAAGCCTAGTAAAGCAGAGACCGATGTACCTGAATCGACACCTGAGCTTATCGATCAGCGTCGTCGTTGGCTGAACGGTTCTTTCGCCGCCTCGGTGGTATGTTCTCCTTGTACTTCACATTGTTTAATTCTCACTTTCAACCCCTTCAGTACGCATTAGTCAACTTCTTCAACCTATACAGATCCGGTCACGGTATTTTCCACATGTTTTCTTCCACGTTCAGGCCCTCGTGAGTTCTCCCATCTGAGTTGTTGTGACACCGCCTGGTGAGTGACGCCTTCCTTATCTTCCGCCGTCTCTTACTCAAAAACTCGCGTAGAACGTTCCCGACTTAATTGAAAAAAGGAAAGGCAACCTGATCAAAGTATTTGTCGATGATTCAGTCGGTGCTTTAGTGGCCGCCATGTTTTCAACGTACGGTATCTACCTATCTGCATCCTTCCTCTATGTGAGTCTTGCAAGATCCTCTCGCCACGCCGGAGTGACTGATTAGATTATAGCGGGATCCCTGGCACATGTTCTCGAGCTTCATTCAGTATCTTTTGCTTACCCCGAGTTTCACCAACGTCCTGAACGTCTACGCGTTCTGCAAGCTGCACGATGTCTCCTGGGATACCAAGGGTAGCGACAAAGATGACGCGTTGCCTTCCGTCTCCTCGAAGAAATCGAAGGATGCTGACGGCGCAGTTGTTGAGGGTGCAAGAAGATATTGATGCGGCATTCGAGGAAACCGTCACTCGTGCTGTCACCAAAGTCGTCACCAAAGGGACCATTGAGAAACCTACGATAGACGATGAGAACAAGTCCTTCCGTACCCGGTTGGTTGCCCTCTGGATGTTGACCAACGCTACGCTCTCCATCGCTATTGCAAATCTGAACGGCTCGCCGAGCGGCGACCCCAAAAAGGATTGAGAAGCTCTCGAGGACAGGCAGGGATGGTACTTTAGACTCCTCCTGTATTCGACCTTTGGTTTGGCATTTGTCCGTTTCGTCGGGGTAAGTAGGCTATCATCCTCGTCGCGTTACTTGACTGACCCATCTCCCCAGTGCTTGTACTACTTCTTCAAACAAAACCTATTCAGATGCTGCAGGAGGAACTAAGGTTTCGGGGGGAGTTATGTTCTTGTTGTAACGGACTAGACCTCATATTGCTGCATTTCTCACTACATTCACGATACGAACTACTTGTAATCACCGCGACAGCCGACAAATCACCCAATCAGTCGCTTTCACCTGCAACGATCTTGGGCATGATTCGGCGCATAATCCACGTGGGGGGAGGGCTGGGAAAGGGAGAAAAACATGGGTTAGCACTAAGGTCGGAGAGGAACGAAGACTAACCTTCTCGCTCCTCGTCTTCCGCAACAAAATGAGTTTTCGCCTCAGCTGTGTAACCGATGTGCATCACTAGCACCCGAATTGGTGTACTTGTGACTTACTTTATGGGTTAGGGTCAACGCGCTCTAGCCACGACCTCTACTCTTCTTTGGGAATTCTTCCCGTCTTTGTTCCTCAATGGTTTTTGTACGAGGTCAGCTTCTGGCTACTTGAGAGTGAAAGGGTTTCTTTCCAGCAGCTCTTACTCGTGTCAATACATCAATGACAAGGACCGCACACTGGAAACGCCTGAGACTCGAATAAGTACTCGAGATAGTAATGCGAGCATGGAAAAGGAAGGAGAAGAGTTGCTCATTCTGTCTGTTAAAGGATGGATACGATCTCTAGATTCCCATTGTTGAGTGAATCCACATTTGCGTGTTTCACCGGATACTCGTTTTCTATCATGTTTGATAGACTGGTTGGCCACAATTGCTGACATTTGATGACAGTATCGCGACCTCTGGAAGAGAAAGACATGTCCCCAGTTCCGTGGGAAATTGGCGCCACAAAGCTGACACGGAAATTGTGGTGGCCCCCGAACAAATCGCAATCGAAGGTGTAGAACCTACTTGTGAGGCGACTAAGACGGTTTGGTACGGCTGCGGTACTTAGCTTACCCTCCTCAACGCTCATGATAATGATATGTACTCACAATGATGGTGGCGGAGGCGGCGACACATGACACTTTGAAGCCACTCATCCACCTTGTTTTCTGCATTCTCCGGTTATGGATTTTGGCATTGTTTGGACTGAAAATGACTGACCAGTGACCATTCCAAGACAGCAATGTCTTGAGTATCCATTCGGCTCTCTTCGTTATCTCTGCATGATAGATGGAATGGTGATTGGACCCTTTAAAGGCATCCAGCAACATGGAGAACTAGACGGTTACGCATCCGATCGACGATCGAACCCCCCGCGTACCTTCCAGTGGCCCCACAGTTTTCTATACGTTCCAATTATTTCAACGTTTGACTGGATTCAATCTCGCGTATGTAAACCTCTTTCAAGGGGGGCCGTACCAGCCTCGGAGAAAGATTGGTAGCTCCGTATATCGTAGGAATCTAAACAAGTCGCACCATTGTGATTCATCCAGGTTGAGCCCAAATGCTACTCAACGCCCAGCAACCTTGGTTCTGGCATTCCCGGGTCAACAGACTTTAAAACGTTGTTTGTACTCAGGCACGTCGATCGAGCTCGTTGCTTCCCTTTTCCGTGATAACTCGAATGCCGATATTAACTTGCTCGACAGGCACATATCTTCGACGGTCGATCCAGCCCCATCCTTGTAAATCGCTTCTGTATCGTCGCATACAATGCTACCGTAATGGTGGGTGTGGAATGTGTATAAAAGGCGTCAAATCAAACCCTTCAGCCTCTAAGTCTCTCTCCCCACAATGCACCTCAAGCACTTCGTTCTTCTCGCATCCCTCCTTCCCGTTGTCTTAGCCGGTGTCATCCCCCGCACTGGTACCGTGAGGGAAGATGGAGACTCCCACGTTGGCGCTACCAAGTTGACGTGAGTGGGTCTTCAGGCCGTTCTACAGTTTTGGCCATGCTGACGCTGATTTGTAGTTCAACCAACAAGGACGGTACCTACCAATCTGTTCTCTTGATGTTCTATCTTCGAGTGTTGATTGTGTCCTTTCCCCCGTAGGCTTGTCGGATGGCTCACTGGAAGACTTACACAGCGAGGACTTACTGGGTGGCTTGACAGATGGTTTGCTGGGTGGAGACTTGTTGGGTGATTTGCTGGGAGGAGACTTGTTGGGTGATTTGCTAGGTGGGAACCCGGACGGTTCACCTGGCGGAGGGTTAGTTTGTTATTTCATTTATCTAACCTTTTATTCAAGTTGATACTGACACGCTTATTTATTGTAGACAGAGCAACAAGAAAGGTATATACTCAGAAGCCTTTATCTACCATCACGGAAGAATAACCATAGGTTACCTCCCGCGTAGGTGGCTTGGCCCCATTTTGAAGCCTCTTAGCGACTTGCAGTCGTGAACTAACAGGGTAATCGTTCCATCGAGGCTCGACTACTTAGGCGAGGGTACTAACCGAAGACGTTCATCCTAAGTTGAACAAAGCAATGAAGAAGGTATGTATGACATTTATGAATATACTCGTAATCTCTATCCGCTATCACACACTGACTATATTGGACTGTAGATTAGGTCGCCAGCGTCTAGGCAACAGTTTCCCTGCCGTACCAACCTCCAGCTCAGTACAGTATATTGTATAAATTGAAGATTAAATTCACACTATTGTTTGTTGGCTGCTTATATCGTAGTTCTTTCCGACTAGGTATAGTGGTGCACTGACAGGCAACTCAAAGTAGGGTCTTGGCATTGTCAAAACTCACCCGAACGATCCTATGTACCTCCCGGTGTCTTCCTCGTTCCATCTCAGCGAAACAAGACCGAAGTAAGACCTTACTTCCCCTATGTAACCTTCTTCTTGATCACATCAACCACAGTAAGAATCAATCACTTTCACCTGTAACGATCCTTCGCATGATTCGGCGCATATTTCACGTGAGAGGATGTGTTAGTACTAAGGTCGAGGAGGAACGAAGGCTAACCTTGTCGCTCCTCGTCTTCAGAAGATCAGGAACAATAGGGGCCGCAAACGATCCAATCATCTTCCTCACTTGAAATACCCAACTCCTTAATCCACGCTTTTCCTACTCACCACCAAACAGCACCATCAGCATCCAAGCCAGACTTACACAAAGGAGAACTCACGGTTTAATGCGCAACAAACCCAACAACAGCCTGCCCCGTTATTTCATACTCACATATACAAGTCGAAATCTGAAGACAGGATTTTTAGGTTGGTGGAACCAGGTTTCAAGTGCTCACCATCAGCTTTGAGGTTTACTGAACGACAGAAAAACTTGAATAAATCTCGATATTGTTTTCCAGACCATATTTGACTCACCGCGATGGGGATAGTATCCTCTGTAAGGTGTGTGGTTAGAATTATACTTATCGAGGTGGAGCGTCCAATCAGTTGGACGAAAACAACAAAAAAGGGTCTTGTCATCCGTAACCACCTCCCTGGCTGGGAGTCGAACCCAGCTTTCGCGCGCATAACCTCGGGAAACGTAAATGACAGGCGCGTGTACTAACCGATACTACCAGGGAATTGTCCACCAACATCCATACGCGGCGTATGGACAATGCTGCTTAAAAGCATGATGGAATAGTTTTGAGTAATCTTATCTCGGATAAATAAGTTTACAGCTCTCTGGCTCAGGCTTGCCTCTGAAAGCCCAGTACTTGAGAGTCTACGCTCGAAGAAGTCATTGTTGTTTTACAAGTTTCTCTCGTCGTACCCACATCCATAGCATATATTCATTCCCAAGTTCCAGAAATCAATATTTGCAGGTCCTATACCTCAAGAAGAGGATATAAGGAGTAAAGAAGGCAATCGTCCCATGCCAGTCAAACTCGAATGCCGCATTCGGCACTGACATAATATCCTTAATCCGCAGAACCTTAAAGCTCCTCTGTTTCGAACAAACGGAACCCCGTGGTGAGTGGAAAAATATGGCAGACCTAAATGGTTTATTCTATTCTATGTTAGATTTTACAAGCCCAAGACGCCACTTGGGTATACTTTTGCCGTGTCGGATGTACCTTCTTCTTTGACCGTATATATAGTGCTGTACGCCGGTGGGCAGTAACATTCGACCCACAATTCACTAACCAACTCGAACGTCAGGCTCAGGAGTGAGAGCAATTCCTCGCCATTCCGCAATGCAAACGGAACTCCGTGTACATGCTGTACTTGGAATCAGAGTAGGAGTAAGGTAAAAAGAAGGATCGGAAATACGCATGAACGGGGTTCTTCCCCTCAAAAGATTCAAGATAAGAGAGCGTAGGGTAGGAATCATGGACATGGGCATGCGGGAGTTGCTTGAGAAATCTCGGAGCGCTTATCAGTTATCTGGGAATCGTCGATACTGGTAACTGAATCATAAAAAAGCACCTCAAATCCTCTCACGCGTCCGCATCCTGACTATGAGTAGAGGGTCCCGTTGCCAGTTGACAATTCAGGATGCATCGGGAAAAACAGTCTACTTACTCAAGCATAAGTAACGAAACGGGAGGACAAAACCACTCGATTGGTCCAAAAAAGATGGATGACGAAGCAGCTCCCTGGCTGGGAGTCGAACCCAGCTTTCGCGCGTGCATTGAACGTCGAGCTCATGCGACCATGACAGGCGCGTGTACTAACCGATATACTACCAGGGATTTGCTTTGTGTCATAGTGGTAGCGATTATATGAGTACTCCCGTGAGGCAATAGTGGGTGAGTAAAAATCGAAGCGATACATAGTTCTTTTCTTCCGCCGAAAGCCCAGAATTTCGGATTCGCCACTGAGCAGTCTGCCGTCGGATACAAGTTCTTTCGCTTTTGTACCCCGACGCCGACAGCGGCACCGTCAGATACCCATAATCCGAAGCCAGCCGCTAGCGTTGTTCCGTGAATACATAAAGAAGTAATCGGAACGCCGTGGCGCGTGGGTAGTCAAGAGCGTTCGGAGATACGCAACATACCAATTGGGGTCGGTTAGCCATTCAAACGTAGTAGGGGAGGAGGAGGAGGAGGAAACCTCCATGTCATGTGAAGATCAACTCTAAGGCTCAAGCTGAGAAGTGACATAACGAGAGAAAACCACTCGATTAGCCAAAAAAAAAACATGGTAGCGCCTTTTCCCATCTCCCTGGCTGGGAGTCGAACCCAGCTTTCGCGCGCTAACCAACAGATAAAATTCATAATGACAGGCGCGTGTACTAACCGATATACTACCAGGGAATTGCTTTTCAAAACCCTAGCACATAATATATCGACTGTACCATCGAGTTCAGAGGGTCGATTTGTAGTAGGTAAGTAAAAAGTAAAAGATCACTGTTAGGCTTCCGAAAGCCCAGAATCTCGGGAGTCTAGGATAAATGGATTTGCCACTGAGCATTGCAGTTTGCCGTCGGATACAAGTATTATAGTTCTTGTATGCCGACGCCGACAGCGGCACCGACAGATACAGTAGTATCCATAACCCGAAGCCAATGTTGTTCCGTGAATACATAAATAAAGAAGAAATCGGAACGCCGTGGGGTAGCTAAGCAGGGCACTCGGTAAAGAAGGATCGGAAATACGCAACATACCAATCGTGAACGGTTAGGCATTCAAAAAGGGAAGAAACCGCCATTTCATGCGGAGATTAACGCTGCTTTAGGATATTTTCAGACTCTGAGGCTTGAGCTCTCCCCGCTGAGAAGATGGCGAGCCGTCGGGCCGACAACACCAGCTAGTGGAGCCCCAATCCCGAACTTGTGCCTGAAAGTCAGATGGGTTAGGGTTTAACGCGGTCTGACCTAGACGTCCATGATCGACTCCATCTTCCTCGCGTACTCGGCTCAAGTTGTAGGTTTCACGGATTCTCAGGTTAGCTTCTGGTTCTAGGGTTGAAATTTGGCTTTCTATACACATTGGGAGCTAGGGAACTGGGAACGGTGCGGATGGATGCGGTCTTTTGTCGAATTCCCGTGCGTCTTTCTCACCGGATACCTGCTCTTTTACCGTTCTGGTTCCACGCCTGTCCGTCAGAAACGGACTCTTGTTGGGGTGCGAATCTTGGAGGGACGGGATTTTTAGTCTTGTTGCACAACCGATGACGGATATCGCGACCTATAGAAGAGAAGTTCCCTCGACATCGCGGATGCTGCCAATATCATTGGAAGAACGATATTCGCGACCAAGATGGGCTTAAGTACAAGTCATCTCTCCGTACATTCTCCACGCCAATAGAATTAACATATAGCACATAGCTCCTGCCCAGCGAAATAGAACCCTCGGCGCCAACAACGACGGGATGGTCAGCTGGAAACACAAAGATTAGTATGGGCGGTGTGGTCAGGTGCCCTTTTATTTTTTGTCTCGGTCTTGGTGACGGTTGTATCTGATGGCGCTAACATTTGGGAATCTTGTTCTGTGACCCCTGGGGCCGCCGAAGGAAGTCTCACACGGCTTGTACATACTAAATTTGAATGGCGTAAGATTTGTATTTGGCACCCACAATTCGTCTTCGGAACCCCGCAATCCTCCTCTCCTCCTCCTCTCCTCATCTCGCGCCCGATTATGCATTATGTCTGCCGTTCTGGAGAATGTTCACGCGAGCAATGCCGAGCGGGTTGTCTGGGGAAGGGGAAAGGGCGGCGTTCCGGACATTGGATTCCGTGTGCCTAGGGACGGTTCGGCTTGGCATCTCGGGAAAGCCATCAATCTAAAACGCCCTAAAGATCCGCAAATGGTATGTGGGGTGAATTTTTCTTTGCTAATTTCTCCAATAGCGAAGATCCTCTTGGGTTCTCGGTAGGCCTGGTCCTCCAAGTTCTCGAATCTCTCCAGTCTGGTGACGGTGTGGAGGGGTTAGTTGTCAGTACGCTGTCTCGCTTAAGTATTCGTGTTCGTTCGTGCTTCTCTCCCGCTCAATGTCCACCTTATCGAAACATTTTAATTCATAATCCGTTATACTACTCTCCTCTACCAATGAACGCTATTCGATTGCCCGTTGCCCAATGTCGAATGTGTCGAATGTCCAAGGGGCGGAGAAGCCAAGTGACATTCCGTGATTTTGATCTAAATTCAATTTCCGTCAAAAAGTTAGGTCAACTGATCACTTGATCTCATTTACCCCACAATCCGTATATATAAGCCGGTTGTCCCCCAAATCTAATTTCAATCGATAACGTCTTTCTTTCCCTTTTCCCTCTATTTCCCCGCCCGCCCGCGATGTCTGAAGAAGCTATCCCAACTCACCCAGTGGGCTCTCGCGTTGTTAAAGGAGATAAGAAACCCCACGTTGGACCTGACAGAGAGGCTTATGAGAATGCCCACAAGCAAACTGTAGGCGACGCTAGTGACGAATGGTGGGCCAAGGTGCGCTCTATTCCCTTCATCTCCTCCTCTTCATCTAAACTAACTTTCTCTTCCTATTTACTAAGACCGCCCGCGAAACCCTGCACTGGTTCCGCGACTTCCAAACCGTCCAACACGGTACCTTCGAAGAAGGCAACATCACCTGGTTCCCCGAAGGCCAACTCAACGCCTCCTACAACTGTCTCGACCGCTGGGCCTTCAAACACCCCGAAAAAACAGCCATCATCTACGAAGCCGACGAACCTAACCAACACGAGTACATCTCCTACGCTAAACTCCTCGACGAGACTTGCAAGATCGCCAACGTCCTCAAAGGGCTCGGTGTGAAGAAGGGAGATACAGTTTCAGTGTACCTACCTATGACGTGGTACGCTGTAGCTGCGTTCCTTGCTTGTGCACGGATCGGTGCTATCCACTCTGTCGTCTTTGCTGGGTTTTCCTCTGAATCGCTACGAGATCGGATCAATGACTGTAAATCGAGAGTGCTCATCACCTCGGATGAAGGGAAACGTGGTGGGAAGAGTATTGCGACCAAGGCGATCGTCGACGTTGCGTTGGATAGTGAAGAGTGTAAAGGGATCGTGGAGAAGGTTGTTGTGTTAAAGAGAACGGGGAATCAGGTTAATTTCGTGGAGGGCAGGGATCTTTGGTGGCATGAGGAGACTGAGAAGGTGTCGGCGTATTGTCCGCCTGAGACGATGAATTCTGAAGATCCATTGTTTATTCTCTACGTGCGTTATCTAAACTCTTTTTCCTTCCCTTTCCCTGCTGACTTTGTAACCGTTCGTAGACCTCCGGATCGACTGGAAAACCCAAGGGTGTCGTACATACCACCGGTGGATATCTCCTCTGTGCAGCTTTAACCGTTAAGAACGTTTTCGACGTCCACCCCGACGACAAATTCGCCTGCATGGCCGACATCGGTTGGATCACCGGGCACACGTGCGTTCCCTTACCTCTCTTCTCCTCATTTCTAACTTATCATTATCCTTAACCCTTTCAGTTACATCGTCTATGGCCCCCTCGCCAACGGCGTAACCACCACCGTCTTCGAAAGCACCCCCGTCTACCCAACCCCCTCCCGCTACTGGGAAACCGTCCAAAAACACAAACTCACCCAATTCTACTCCGCCCCAACCGCCATCCGCTTGTTACGTCGTCTAGGCCACCAACACGTCGAAAACCACGACTTGAGCTCCCTCCGAATTCTAGGGTCCGTAGGCGAACCAATCAACCCCGAGGCGTGGAATTGGTATAACGAACATGTAGGAAAGAAGGAGTGTTCGATCGTTGATACGTTTTGGCAGACAGAGACGGGGTCAATCGTGATTACGCCGTTCCCGGGGGCGATTCCGACTAAACCGGGGAGTGCGACGGTTCCGTTCTTTGGACAGTTGCCTGTGTTGTTGGATGCGACGAGTGGGAAGGAGGTTGCTAATGTGGGGGGGCCTGGGGGGTATAGAGGTGGGGAGGAGGAAACGGAGGGGGTGTTGGTGTTGAAGAAGAGTTGGCCGAGTATTGCGAGGACGATTTGGGGTGATCATAAGAGGTATTTGGATGTTTATATGAAGGTACTTCCCTCTCTCTCTCTCTTTCTCTTTTCCTCCTTCTCTTACTCATCCCTCGTAGCCCTACCCAGGCTACTACTTCACCGGCGACGGCGCCGCCATCGACAAGGACGGATATATCTGGATCAAAGGCCGTGTGGACGACGTGATCAACGTCTCCGGCCACCGGATGTCGACGGCTGAGATCGAGAGCGCATTGATCATGCACAAGGGCGTTGCGGAGACGGCTGTGATTGGTGTGAACGATGAGTTGACGGGGCAGGCTGTGGTTGGGTTTGTTACGATGAAACCGTGAGTTTTCTGCTCTTCCTCCTTTGTCCTCCTTTGTCTCCTTTCTTTTATCTTCGGGGGCGCTGATTGTTCTCGTTCTCGTGCTAGGGAATTCAAATACGACCCATCGAACGAGGAGGCGTTGGTCAAAGAACTCGTCATCCAAGTTCGAAAGACGATTGGACCGTTTGCAGCGCCGAAGAAGGTGTATATCGTTCCTGACTTGCCAAAGACGAGGAGTGGGAAGGTCAGTCTTCGTCGTCGTCCGTCGTCATTTCGTTCCTCATCTTTCTCCCCCACGTAGATCATGCGCCGAATCATGCGAAAGATCGTAGCAGGCGAAGGCGACCAACTAGGTGACTTGTCGACTGTTGCGGAGCCTGGGGTGGTTGATGTGATTAAGAAGAAAGTTGCGGAGGGGAAGTAAATTTCGGTCTCGTTTTTGGGCTGAGTTTGTAAGTTATGTATCTTGTCTGGGGGCATGCGGTATGCGATGGAAAGAGACTCGAATAGTCGAATTGTATTACATTGTTTTTCTCCCTCTTTCTTTCTTTGCTATACGGCACGAAATTCAGATCTCTCTCCACCTTGAGTTTGTCGGTCGTTGGACGTAACCAAGTAGAACACGTTGAATGATTTGGGTAGATGTACACCCCTCTCAGCGTTGTTTAGGTCAATCACATATAATGGTGTACGATTAAGGGTGCGACTTTCTTTCTATCCCTACGATCATACAGAACTACTCATCTTTCTTCGACACCCAAAGTAGGGATGATGACTATATATCTACCTCCTTGTTCAGTGCATTTGCTATGAATCGATGAATATGTCAGTGCCCGGCGCAGTTGAAGGGAGGAGTTATGAAACGATTTTACCTCCTCCGGCACGCCACGGAGCAACCCATCCATCAGCTCTCCGCCCAGTGTGGCACCCCGCAAGCCGTCTTCGCCTTGCACGCTACCCAGCAGATCTCCACCTAACACGCCACCCAGCAGACCTCCGCCTAGCAAGCCAACCAGCACGCTAACCAACAAGTCTCCGACTGGCAATTCGCCGGAGTCGAGCAAATCTACAGGAGAAGACCATAGTCAACCTTGATTATAGGAGTCACGACAATCAGTGATACCATCTTTATAGCTTGAGCTACGAAAGTCATCAAACGAACACAGTCGAAAACTAAAAGACCTCTACTCACGTCGAGCTGGATCGACTGCCGATAATATGTGTATGTTTAGCAAGTTCATATCAGCATTCGACCTATTACGCAAAAGGGAAGTAATGAGCTCGATCGACGAGCCCAAAGTCCGAGCAACGTACAAAACGTCCGTTGATCCGGGAATGCAAGAACCAAGGTTGCTGAGCATTGACCTGAATGAAATGCAACGGTGCGACCTTGTTCGAATTCCTACGATATGCAAAGCTGAAGTTGTTGGCGCCGAGGCTTCCGAGGCTTCCAGTGGGTAGGTAGGAGTGATGTCACGGTATCGACATTGTGAATGATAGAGAACGCAATGAAAGGTAACACGTAGTCTCTCATGTTCGAAAGACAGCCTTCCATGTCTACTTCCAATTCTCACCCTACTCCCTACCACGGTTCAGTCGCGGAGCAGCGAGTGATTTCTCACTCCTGAAGCCTCAGGTTTTTTTTCCATGCTGTGATCTTCCGGGTCGAAGCTTTAAACTGAGCAATGAGGATCAAGCCCTACAACGAGAGAACCAGCATCCGCCAGTAAACGGCGACGGCTCCTTCTGCGGATCCTTATATCCTAGACTCCCAAGATTCTGGGTTCCCCCTCAGAAGCACTACTCAAAGCTGTCATGACGAAAGTAGGCTTTACTTGGCCGTTGCTGATCTCAGAAATCTCAGAAATGGTTCCATTGTACTCGAAGACATTGTACTCTAGGACCAATCTCTATATTGACTGCGGAAAGGGAGTTGAGACAGCTCCCTGGTAGTATATCGGTTAGTACACGCGCCTGTCATGAGAGGTTGATTAAGGGGTATATCCGCGCGAAAGCTGGGTTCGACTCCCAGCCAGGGAGGTTGGTCATGGACGTGGGTTTGATGTTTTTTTGAATGTCTATGAACGACTCGTTCCGCCGATTGGATCTACCTTCGCTTCTCTGCAGGCTAAAACTAGCTGATTCAAGAAGCATGAGAGAATAGCGAAGAGCTGGACCTGCATTTTACATAGCGACCTTGATGAAAAAAAAGGTCTCTCAACGTCGCGATCGAAATTGAATTTTTCGGAGACGTATTTCGCCATTCATTGTACATAATTAGAATAACAATATTGTGGTTCATTGATTATTCATAACGCATTGAGCCGACACATGTCAATATGCCACTCTTGTCAACACAACCTAGAAATCATACATCAGTTCGCTCGATATCGAACTCACGGATTGTCTAGAGGATCGACTTACTACCGAGATAACTTGAGAGGAGTCCGAAGGACCAGCGTAGTACTTGCTGCTCCCAGCGTGGTGGTCTTTGTTGATGGGTGGGCCACAAGCAGAGACTGGGTACTAAGCGATTGATGCATAGCAGAAGGTGCCTAAATGGTGCCAGTGCTGAGTGTGGTTTGCACGAATTATCAGTCATTAGTCAACCCCTGGTCGGTCGGGACCCGGCGATCAATGAATTTCACAGATCAATTAGGCTTTATGTTATCGAGGATTCCAGTACACTGGGGAGTGTGGAATGCGATCTATCCGTACATTGCGACTTCCAATGTTATACTAGACGCCCAGTTATTTTTGGTTTAACATTGTGAGGTGTCAACACGCTCATGGCAGAAGCCCTTACAGGGGAGCCTTGTAAGTAAATCAGATTCACGAATGTCAACTCATTCACTCTGTATAGTTCAATCCGATCGGGAAACAACTGTGATTTAGCAAGTGGCACTAATAGTCCCGTAGAGTATCAATGGTATCGGTGGTAATCGGATAGCCTGTAGAGTCGTAAGCAACATCTCCTTCAAGATCCAACACTCCTAGGCGTCTAAATTGGGAGGCCATTTTCGAGGATGGCGAGGATATGGACGTTCAAGTCAAGAGCGAGCTTAATGCAGACGCGAATCACGTCAGCGCCAGCGAGCTGGACTTCGAGACCAACGCCAACAAAGATTGCAAGGCAGAGTTCGATCACGGCCTGAACGCTAACGAGGAGGGAAGTGCAGATCTGAGCGGCGGCAGCGAGCTTGAGATCGAGGATGACCCGGATGCAAGCGACGATCGACTAGAGAGAGGTCATCAGGATCGGAGGGTGATGGAAAGGCAGAACGAAATCACTTACAGCGACGATGCTGATGATCAGTCTGACCACGACATCAATGAAGATTCCTACGCCCAGGGCGGCTTGTACACCAACTTTCGCCTCAACTAACTCCTTCATATCGCCGCAAGCGTCAGCCATGGCCTTGACACACACGTCAACAACAGCCCCAACGGTGTTGACGTTCTTTTCGCTCAGATCCTCTGTTGAAAGAAAGCACTTAATGCCAGCGGGGAAGGAGAAGCACAAACTACTCACTGATATTCTGCGAAATGGGCTTGCATGCAACGTCGACTTTCTTGAGGATGTCGGGGACAGTCTTGACGGGGCATCCCGTGGTGCAACCGGTGTTACCGCCTTGGTTAACATCAGTGGGAGGAGTATACCCTGGGGCAGCGGCGGTGAAGGTGGCCAAAGCGGCAACGAAGAAGAGGGAGATGGCACGGAAGGAAGGCATTGTTGCAGAGAGAGTGCAGGAGCTGAGTGAGGGTTGCGAAGACGACTCGAAGTAACCAGAAGGCTGAGGAATCCTGGCTCTTGGGTGGTGTCTTTTATACTCAAACTTCGGCTGAGGGATAAAAATATTCTTTGTTAGTTTGTATGGGTTTCGTGTGCTTGACCCCGGTCTCGGAGACGAGTATCGCGAGCTGCAAAATCGGTGAGTTGTTTGCGCGAATCTTCGATGTGAAGAGAAAGGTGTGCACAACCCTGTCGCGTTCGATTGAAAACTGAAAAGGATTACCCCCGTCGGCTCTTAGCCGGGATAAAATCACTTTGTTACAGTGTGTGTCTCGCTTGAAAGATTGTTGAATGCTGTCAAGTGAAAAACGCCGATTTCACGAAGTGCTATATGCGAAGGCTGATCCGAGCGTGGGGCTAAAAACAGGCCACCTTGTACTTGTGCCCTAGACCTCCTGCGTCCAATTGTATGAAGTCTTCTGTGCTATGAACTACCCACTGGCTGATCTTGCGCTAAGTCCTTGATCAACGGACATAATACACCTGAGAGCAACGTTAGCTAGGGTCGGATAGGACGTCAAATCTTTCCGACGCCTCCCGTCGTGTCCGTTCCATTCATGCAGACGAGCGCTCCGAGAGAGCTAACCACGTCCATCGTCAGTACTGACGTACCTTCAATTCACCTGTCATTCCGAAGTATTTCGGCGTTGAATGGCTTGGGAGCGCCACAAGTGTCGTGGAACTCCAGCAACTTGAGGCAGTAGTAGCAAGCAAGCGATATATTATAGGAGGAACGCGAGTCACGGTGGAGAGTGCTTCGAGGTAATCGATTGGTTTTATTGTCACTTCGATGAGGTTCACATTCGTCCGCAAGTGGGTTAGAAGGAGAACGCTTGGAAGAACTCACAAGCACACCATTCCTGAGCGCTTGAGTGGCATGAAGACGGGGTTAGCGAATTTTTGGACAGATAGGGTCAGTCGGCTCTATGGGGTATTCAACGCCTGACAAGGGTCCAAGTAAGTCTTGCAAGTGGCGTATACTTATTTTTTGAGTTCTCTTGCACGAGCCCTGCACCCTTAGAGTCACTGAAGACGTGCTTTCTAAACGCTCGGATAACAAAGCTTTCAACGAAGCCTTTACGGCGTCTTATCTTGCGTCGGTGCATCACTATACGTAGCTGGAAAGAACTACAGTATAAACGGCCAACGAACACAGTGTAAATTTGGCTTTGAGTTAAAACGATACACTGTTGTACAGAGCCTGAGGTTGGTACGGCAGGCAAATTGTTGCCTAGACGCTAGCGGCCTAATCTACAGTATAATATGCTTAGTGTGTGATAGCGGATAGACTTCGTGAGTATATGCATATATACCTTTTTTGCTGCTTAGTGCATGATTGAACTTTGTATCCATGACACTGGTGTGACCGCTCGCGTCGTTCGGCCACAAGGTGGGTCGTGTTCCTGCACTGAATGAGCCTACGGGGGGAAGAACACAATAAACCTCGAGAATAGGACCTAGGAACGTCAGGTATATACCATCTTTGTTGCTTAAGATGCCCCGAAGACATCGAGTCAGCATAGTTCGAACTGGGGGAACGGAGATACCTACCGATTGTCACCTACAGTATCAGCGCGAGGTATGACGCCGGCTCAGACAGCGGGAAGGAGGGATGCGAGAAGGACAAAGTGCTTGACGTGTCTTGTGGGCGGGAGAGACTTGGAGGTTGAAGAGCATGATTTAACACCTTTTATACATATTCCATACCTACCATTACGAAAACATTGTATGCTACGATAGAGACGCGATTTAGGGAGGTTGACTCTACTGTCGGCTGGGCGACATTCTCGTTCTCATGTCGCCGGATGTGTTGGAAGAGTTCAATCATCATTCCATCTGTCATGCAGCCAAATGGATGATTGAGATATTTATCCGTCTTGGCAGGCTCACCGATCGCCCATTCTCAGTCCGAACAAGGTCAAAGTCCATAACCGAATATTCGGAAACCATGGCGAAGGACACGTGAATAGTCTTCAAGGTGTAATTTCGCGGCCTTCGCCACCACCGCTGTGTGAGTATGTATCCCTGGAAGGAAGACTGACCACCGTAGTTGTACCAAACCCTCTTGGTCACCTCACAAGTACGTACTACGCTTCCGATCCTTGAATATGGTGATATATCCTCACTTACCGAGATTGTTCTGGTCTAAGTTTGTATTCTGGGAACTTTCGAGTGGAAATATATGCTATGGATAATTGCCATCGGGCGTGCATCGGTAAAGGGTCAAATAACTTTCGGGCTTTTTTGCCTTTTTGCCTTTTCCTGAAAGCAAAAAGTCCAAAAGCTGGAAAGTTTTGACTTTCCACAACTTCCATTTACCAAGTACCCATCTTGTAGACTGACCTTGTACTCGAGCTTTAATCTTGAATGCCATTCAAGAACTAAATCTAGATCGTATGATTTTGGTCAGGATTTTGAACTTTCGGACTTCCGGTGACTTTTGCCGGGAGCCTATTTTGGGGTTCCGGAAGGCCGACTTTCGGGAAATCAGACATGGCTTCCGGCTTTCCGGCTTTTGGGCATTTTGGGCCGAAAAGTGACAAAAAAGGCAAAAAAAGGCGCTAAAAAGGCGCCAAAAAGTGACTAAAAGACTGTGACCAAATACTGATGACTGGGTACAACGAGAAAACTTGTGAATCAAGAATGACTTCTTCTAGCTCAACTCTCAAATACTGGGCTTTCAGAGGCACGATCCTTTATATAAATTGTTCTTGTTGAATAACGTCTTCACTCGTTCAGCCGATCGGATCTATCTTTGCTTCCTTGAGGTTGAAGATAGCTGATTGAACAATCATGAGAGAAAGCGAAGAGTCTAAGCTGCAATTCAATGGAACTACACATAGCAACCTTGATGGAAAAAAAGTGTCTCAACCTCGCGGTCGATTGAATTCTCGGAGACGCATTCACCATTCATTGTATATAATCAAAATAACAATATTGCCGTTCATCAATTATTCATAACGCGTTCAGCCGACACAGGTCAATGTACCACTCTTGTCAACACAACCTAGAAATCACACATCAATTATTTAGCCCAATGCCGAACTCACGGATTGTCTAGAGATGGACTTACCACCCGAGATAACCTGAGAAGAGTCCGAGGGTCAGCGTAGTACTTGCAGCTGATCGGTGGAAGCCATGGTAGGCTGGTTATCCGGAGGGCGAAGAGGAGAAGAAGGGATTATGCGGGTTGTACTCAGAGCGCCTGAATAACCTAATGCCAAACCCGCGCGTACCGACTTTGGGT